TAAATATGCATATCTTCTTCCTCATTAATCACCTGCCACTTATAAGCCAAGTGCAGACTAAACTAACCTTTTAAAATCCACACGCCGGACGATAACATTATGACAAAATTGATTTTTTTTCTTATCCTTAAAATTAATCAGTGTTTGAATGTTTAGCTTTTAGTGTAAGATAAATTAGGACATTTTTAAAAAGTATCTAGTACACAGTCATATTGTGACATATTGTCCCTGACGCTTTTATCTTTGGTGTTTTGGGAATGGTTCCGATTGAAACTGCAGTTCAAATAGGAATTAAGTATGTTTTTCTGCTTGTTTGATAAAGTCATTTCTCAGTTTCATTGTTTACTTACCTTATTAAATTAGTTTTTTTCTATTAGTGCAGCAATAGAATATATTTCACCTTCATTCTAATTTAATTCACTTCAATTTTCAGTTTTTCTCCATATAATTAAATGAACTTTGCTTAATGTAAACTGTAGACATTTGTCAGATTTTATCAACGTCAACTGAACGTTGGTACATTTTTGGCTCTTGAAACTGCTGTATTTTATTTTGAAATGATATGTTTTGTTTGTTATGCCTATCCTGTGGTACTAATTATTAATACATGAATTAATTCAACAGAATATCTAAAATTGGAAGAGGAATGCAATACATTTTCAGGATATTATAAAGCAAATGACTCAGTTTTCTGAAACTGAAGTCACTACCTCCATTAAACCAACATGGAACATCCAAAATCGCAGTTTCTTGAATGGTCACTTGAGGCAATGAAAGAAAGTTAGTCTCTGCCATTTATTTATATGGGATACACTGTCATTCGAACTGCAACATAAGATGGGGAACTCCCCATCTCACCCCTTAGTCAGTGACACAGCCTTGGCCAATCGTGTGACCAGCTCCACCCTGCAAAGGTGCCAGCTGTTACAGCTGTGCAGTAAATTTCACTGTCTGATTGTTCTCTTCAGTTTTTTTAACTTGTTGTTTTTATTTATCTGGTTGTTTGTGCATCATGCAGCTCTTGGTGGGAGGTAGTGGTGCAGAGATGAGTCATGCTCAATTTAGACTCAATTTTTAACAACTATGCGTAATAATCTACTGCTGCTTTAGCTTTTTGGTTCCTGCAGTCTGCTCTAAGTGTTACATAAGGCTGAGTTCTCATAGATTAAAACAAAGCAAGGCAAATCTGTTAGGAAACAATGAGAAACTCTCATGTACCAACTGTTTTGTTGGGTGGCTTTTTTCGAATAATTAAAAAATTACTACTAAATTACTTTCCTGATACTGATAGAGGTTTAATCATGTGAAACTTTAGCTGTATAGGAGATGCTAACGCTTTCTGTCTTTCGAGACACTTATAGCACTCATATAAAAGTATGTTTTACATCTTATGTTGCTCATAGCTTTGCTGCTGCCAAAAATGTAGCTTCTCATACACTACTTGGCAGTTGTGATGTTTAAACCAGTTACTCTCGTAGTTCAGTTAAGTTTAATTTCTTATAATGTCTTCCATCATCTTTCAAAAGGTTAGAATTTCGATGTTTATGGATATTTCCTGTTACCAGAATGTATTTAGACAGGTTTTTACTATGGACAGGAATTTGCTATAAAAGAAATTACACCTGTTAGTACCCACTGTTAAATGATTATCATAATTATATTCACATCACTTTCATTTTTTCCACTTGAATTCACAACATCACTTGCCTGTTGTTGTTGTGATTAAAAACACACAAAACCACATATTTGTTTGAAAATGTGTTTTATATTTCTGACAATGTTTCCAAATATTTAGAAGTGATTCATAGCAGTTTCCCAAACTCTTTGTTAATTTTTAAAAATTGAATTGAATTGAATTTCATTATTCATTCTTCTCGCATGATGAGAAACTCGATGACAGAACACGTTAACACAGTACTATGGGTGGCTCTTGGTGCTTTTTAAAATGTAAGTAAATACAATCTGTGCCCCAGCACAGTCTCAAAAGCATGAAGGAGATTTTAGGAGATAAGCAGTTACTCTAGGAAAGCTGGACAAGGCTGTAGAGGTTCCTTTACCCCTCAGCAAGACTGATATCCTCTCCTTTGTGCACAGACGATCAGAATGAGCATTGCCAAGCTCTATAAAATGACCTCCAGAACGAGACTGGTGTGAATGTTTCTGACCAAATAATCAGAAAAAGATCTTGTGAGGCTGACCTGAAGGCCTGATGTGGTCTAGTGGGCCCTGTGTTCACTGCCCGGCACTGTGGAGCCAAATTTGGCATTTACTATAGAATACCAGAACTCGGCAGGTCCACTAATGGCACCCTGTGAGAGCAGCTTCAACCTGAGCACATGTGACAGACATAAAAGTATCTGGAGAAGCTGTAGAGAACATTATGCTACCTGTAACATCATTCAGCATGATGAGTTTGCTGATGGTCTGGGGAGGCATACCCATGGAGGAATGCACTGACCTCTGCAGATCAGGCAATGGCACCCTGACCACTATCAGGATGAAATCCTTGGACCCATTGTCAGACCCTACGCTGGTGCAGTGGGTTCTAGGTTCCTCTTGGTGTATGAGAACCTCATGTAGCAAGTGTACGCAGGCAATTCCTGGAGGATGTAGAAAGTGATAATACTGACTGCCCTCCACACTTGCCTTACCTAAATCCAATGCAACATATCTGGAGCTTTATATTTTGGTCTAATCAGTGCTGCCAGGTTGTACCTCGCACTGAACAGGAGCTCACTGATACCCTGGTCCACCTCTGGCGTTTATACAAGCACAGTGGGGCCTTGTAGGAGCTTTGTAGGTTCATCATTTTCATTTCTATCAAATCTTAACACATTATCCAATCCATATCAGTATTGATATCCAGCTTGATTTTTTTCCCCTTGAGATGTGGCGTGTTTTCAAAGTGCTCCTTTACTTTTTTGGAGCAGTCTATATCAGAAGAGACTGGAAAAACATCCCTCTCCCAAAAGTCCAGATGTTGTTAAAACATAAGGAATGTTACACAGTAGTAAACGAGGCTCTGTCCCAGATTTTTGGGAGTTGTTGCTGCCATCAAATTCAAAATGAGCTTATATTTTTTGCAAAACAGTACATCCTTTCTTATTTTAAACACTTGATATATTTTCTATGTTCTATAGTATGTAAAATATGGGTTTATGAGATTTACACTGCGTTCTTTTTGTATTTAGATTTTATGCAGCAGCAAAACATTTGTGCAATTTTTTTTTGTACTTGGCTTCAAAATTCTGGTTGCATCTGGACACAGCCTGGAATAAATTCTCACACAGTTTCCTGCATGTGTTCTATTATCTGATGACAGCTCCATCCCTTTGGTCCCGTTGGAGCAGGCTGAACACAGAAACCCAGTTTATGGCCTATTTGTGAGGTCAGGGGACAGCTTAGCCCTCCTGCCCCTCCTCTCACTGCAGAGCCGACCCTTCCTGGTCCTCGGAGAAGCAAGTTAACAGATGCTTCTGAATCAATTTGCCCAAAGAATCACAATGACCTTTCAGAATCCCTCCGTCCAGATCACCTGCTCTCACTGAACAGCCCTGGCTGCAAAAGGTCAGAACTCAAAGCTCTTTAATAAGTTTATTTCACAGATACTCACTGGGATAATAATTTATTTGTTAATAATACCGAAAAAACCCAAACAAATAAATAAAAAAGATCATATAGGAGAAAGAACATGCACATAACATATTTAATGTTTAAGATAACATATATTTTGGTCATTATCCCAGTGAATGTTTGCTTTAATATCATTAAAAGCTCAGTTAGTGGCAATATTTATAAGACATCAGAAAGAAAAAAGACATTTTGGTATTTCCCATTTATCATTGTACTTTTGATTTGACTGCATCGTGTACGCACATCCCTGAGAACAGATGGAGGTCACCAGTTCACTGTGATTGAATTAAATCACTTGTTGGCATGTTCATGCCATATTTGTACGTGCAGTTCACTTCTTTGTGTACTGAGAGCTGTAAAGGGCTGCCCCCCCCCCCA